CTAATAATTTATTGTGTCTGTCGCGGTGCCAAAACTTCATTATTACTAATGGACTAATGTAGCCATTCACCAAACACAAACTATTTATCATCACCATTATTGTGATGAGTCCACATAGTAGTAAGAATGTGTTAATTAGGTGTTTACTTGGTCTACACATTCTGTATCAAACTTACCCCACACATTCGGCTACGCGTCGCATTGAATCCTGGGAAACAAAGACATGGCACGCAAATCGATTGAGAACAGGATGTTTCGTGATGAAGCCGAAATAGCTGTAACAGGAAATGAAAAACAGGTTCAAAATATGAAAATATCACATACAAATGAACTGCAATTATGTGCATAATATTCGGCTCTCTAAAAGTTAATCAAATTATTTAAAAACACACCAGGACCTAAGAACCAAGAAAGAATGCACCAAAAGAAATGTTTTTAAAAAAAAAACTTCTCCTGGTTTATCTTTTTGTTGTGGCTGTTTGTTTGCATTTAGCTATTATACACTGCCTGTGCAAAAAAAAAAAAGTCATACTAATATTAATATTTGGATGGACCGCCTTTAGCTTAGTCTACAGCACACATTCTCAAATGCATCATTTTGATAAGTTTATGCAACGTCAAATCAATTATTTCCACCCAGAGTTGCATTAATTTTTCACTTGCCGTAATGATGACAGTGTCAAGTCACTGCGTAAAAGTCTTCTCCAGCACATCCCAAAGATTCTCAATGGGGTTAAGGTTTAGTCTCTGTGGTGGCCAATCCATGTGTGAAAATTATGTCTCATGCTCCCTGTACCACTCTTTCACAATATGAGCCCAATGAATCCTGGCATCGCCATGTTGGAGTATGCCCATGCCATCAGGGAAGAAAAAATCATTTGTTAAGGAAAACTTGATTATTTTTAGGTAGGCAGCTGAACCCCACATTTTAGGGACATAATGTTGCTGAATCCAGACTTATTATCCAATGGAAGGTTCTAGGGATGCACCGATACTGATACTAGTATGCTCCCGATGCCTATCTCAATACTGGATATTCTGGTATCAGGAAGCTGGGCTGCGAATCATTACACACTGCTTGGCTTCCTGATTACCCGTGAAGCTGGCTCCATGCTCCCTTGTCACCAGGTGGGTGGCATGTAATTACTTGCCGCCCAGCTTCCTGATTGGTCGGGAAGCTGGCCAATCAGGAAGCCAGGTGGCGAGTCATTACCTGCCCCCCTGCTTCCTGATTGTCCAGAAAGCTGGCTCCATGCTCCCCTGTGGGTTTGGATTAGGTAGCATGAAGCCGGCTTCCCGGCCAATCAGGAAGCCGAGCGCCGTGTAATGACTCACCACCTGGCTTCCTGATTGGTCGGGAAGCTGGCTAATCAGGAAGCCAAATGACTAGTCATTACCAGCCTCCGGGTTCCTGATTGGCCAGAAAGCCGGTTCCATGCTTCCTCATCACCTGGTGACCAGGGAGCATGGAGACGGTTTCTCGGTTAATCGGGAAGCCAGGTGGCGAGTCATTACGCCTACCCGGCTTACTTAATAGGATTTCCGGTATTGCTAACAGCGAGTACCGAATAGAAAATATTGGTACTCGATATCGAAAAACCAGTGTCGGTGCATCCCTAGAAGGTTCTGACCTATTTGGTTAGCTAAATCCAGGTGCTGACTTTTTTTGGACAGGCAATGTATTTGTGAATAGGAAAATACTGACCAGACTTATAGCTTCTATATTTGCCCAAATCTGACCTACTAAGAGATACACTGATATCCCAGTTCTAAAAAGCATTTAACTTCTTACCAGCTGTTACGTGGATGACAACCACAAAAGGAAATATTCTTCATCTGGAAGAAATGACTGCAGCGCTCATCCTGCAGAACAACAAATAAGAACAATAAGACAACAGATCCAACAGTCCATTGTACTGTTCATGAAACTGCAAGCACTGGAAAGAAGATCTAGTGCCTTCTGTTACACTGGAAATATACTCTGCTTCTGAAAGAGTTTAATTTTCTATATAAGGGGTCAATGCACAAAGCATATTGTATGTGTAGTGTTTTCATTACCATACTTTATTATTTTTCCAATCAAAAATGGGTGTTTTCCGTTCATTACCAGTTTTATTGCACAGATAGGCTAAACGTACCACCGAATATATGATATTGATTCATTTGTATGTAAAAATGGAGGTTGAGATCAAATAATATAATAATATTTCAGGTGCACAACAAATTTATGAGAAAATAATCTTGCATTTGTTAAATAATTGATGCAAAAATTTCAAGACTGTCATCATGTGTGTATGGAACAATATGGTAATAAATTTACATTGTGCACTCACCTTTACAATACTAAAGTGTTCCAGGCAAATGGCACCTTCACATGGACAATACAATGCCCTTGCTATGCTGCTTTTAACAAACATGGCACCATATACAGTATGGCTTACATAGCAAAGTGTGCAATGCATATGTACCCTACAATAGTATTATGACGTTAATTATTATTCTATGAACTGCCAATTTGTCATTATGGAATAAGCCACTTAATGCCGACCATGGCTGCCTTCCACATAGCAAAAGTACTTATGGGGAGCCTTGTTATGTTCCATTTTTTGTACATTTTAAAAACTATCACCAAACAATTAAACAGTCTTGACAATGCTCAAACCTATTCTTCTAGCACTGACCACCATATCTGTTTTAGAGTTTGCTAGATCACACTTTAAACTGTAACCTGTTCACATGCAATGCAAGAGTATAAATGGGGTTTCTAATGCATGTCTATTTATTTATTTCACACATTTAAATTGCAAGGTTTATGCCCACTGAGGGAATAAGGTTTCTATTTTCATGGCCTCTAAGTGAATATTGGAAATGTTATATATTTTCAATATTTGAATAATTAATTACATTAAAAAGTAAAAATGTATTTGTACCTCTGGCCTGTCATTTCCTCTTAGAATGAGTTTGACACCCCGCAGGGAAATCTCCAGTTCACAACTGGCGGGCGGTCTCAGGTGTACTGTCAGTTTCCTTGCAGTTGCAATCTGATTGTACAATAAGAAATAGTGGTCACACAGTAATTCATCACAGTTGCTTATATTCAAGCCTTAACAATCACTACATACAGTGAAAGCAGGTATTAAATTAATATTCAGCCTCTCAGTTAACTCTGTCCCAGTACCATCACACTATACTTTATTATCATCTGTTTCCAGTGCATAAACTACATTCATGTGTTAGTACACGACAGATAAATGATGGCTTCCAAAATTAAGTTAATGAATCTTAATAGGTAAGTATTTTTATCCTGCTTTACAAATAACAAGCTCATAGCCATCCTAAATATAACGTTGCCTAAGTGACAGCTTCAGTATAAACGTTCTTCTTACCTTTTGCATAGCTGCACATAGGATACCATTGCCTTGATGATGTGGAACTTCCACAGAACCCAAAAACTGCACATCAAACATCTGAACCCAGGGAGAGTTTCCTTTGAGAACTGCAAAGTAATTAAATAAGCTTGTTTATTTTTTTATAGTCTTCTGTCGTTGGAAAAAAACCCATAAAAAGGTGCCGGTGCTAACCTCCCTATAAGCATGCGGTTTGCCTGGCTGTGTCTGGCTTCGGTACTTTCTGAGTCACTAACCTAGAACATGCATGAAACAAGTGAAGGCAAGGTGAAGTCACAAATCCTGATCTGATTACTTGTTTCTGGTCAGTGCCTCACAAAGCAGCAAAGGCAGCCACCGTAGTTATCTCAGTAAAGATTTCCTCTAACAGAAATGTTCCCACGCTTTCCCTTGCTTAAAATCTCAACATCTGCTTAATAAGCAGAAAAATAATAATACTGTGAGTGACCATGTCATCGGTAAATATGCAAAAAAATCAGATCCAAAGGCAAGACCTGCAGAGATTGTTGTCCCCCATCTTTTGAATGTAGAAGAAGTAATCCTCACCTCTTTGGTCCTCACTGTCTTCTGGCACCTGAATGATTTCTGTGTACTATGTTTGTATGAGAATGGATTTTAAGGTCAAGCTAAATATGTTTTAATGAAAACAAATTGCGGTTGATTTAGTAAAGGAGTAGGGAATTTTTACTTTGCAATGTAAATGTTCCATTAAATTAGCAAATAAGGTGAAACTGTGTTCACTTTAAAGTAGAACCGAAGCCAAAACTTTGTTTTATGTTTTGGATGGAGTAAGGGAGGATTATAACCCCTGTTTTTTGCCATCTGTGTTCCATTGGAGAGATTTCTCTTCACTTCCCATCTGAAGTTTTGGCTTCAGTTGCACTAAAATCATTTTGTCATGTTTAAGCAAAAATGCTGTTTTTGTTGTTTTTTTCCCTTATTTATGTTTGGGTATTTAAAGTGATCACAGCTTCATCTTATTTACTATTAACCGAATATCTACATTGGAACCCTCTTTATTTTTCTACCACAGGTCTTATAAAAGAGCCTAAGTGACTCTCTAACGCCAGTAACAGGATTTGGAAACATTTTTGAAGAATTAAAGCATTTAAAAAAGGACCTTAAATTGAAAAGTCAGACCACTCAATAGGCCATGATTTGGTCAGCCTTACCAAATCGCATTATTTCTTGCCATGAATTTAAAAAAATACTAAAAAAACTTCTCCTGAGACCTCTCAATAATCTAACATCTACATTAGAAACAATGACATGGTCTATGGGCTGCAAGGAGCATTGTGGGTCTGCAAAGAAACAAAGAGCATCAGCGAGACACAACCTTGGAGTTCTACTATGTGCTAGTGCTTCTAAGTAAGAAGTGGAGTCTGTATATGCAATGAGCAAATATGGGTGCCCCTTGTACATATATACTGTATAATTATAAATGATATATACAAACTGTTTTTTAATAATTAACACACATCAAGTGATTATATATATTATGCATCTATTTCACATGTATATGTAAAAAAATGTTAAAAGACTAAAACTCTCATTTAAGTTGCTTACCAACATTCTCCTTTACAGGACAGACGACCTCATGGGCATAAAATGAAGGAAAGATCCCTCTCTCTCCTGTTCTCATGTTATAGCCATGACACCAAGAACCGTCCTCACATTCCACCAATAATGGGTCATCAACATCCAGTTCAAGCTCATCTTCATGACGAGGAATAAACCTGAATAGCGGAGCCACAAACAGCAGAAGTCAAAACTATGTGACTAGTGTAAAGACCTATTCACTCCCTTTTGTTCACTTCAAGCAAGTTTTGCATTAACATACCAGTCTATTAGAATGCAAAACTCACTTGAAGCTGGTCAGAAGGAGGTTAACTGCAGGTCAAATGCACCTGTCAATGAATACGGAATGATCTCATAAGTGTCTCAAACTAATGCCATCAACACAAGCCAAAAGCCCATCGACACAGGACCTTAGGGACTGAGTTGCAACCTTTTTTACTTATACAGTAGTTACCATTTGTGAAACAGTTAATACTCCCCAGTATGTTAAAGTACATATGCCAGTACCTTAGTGACATATTTGATTTTGGGTCTGATTTATGAAAAATCTGAAGACAGAAAAGATATGTGCTGCCCAATGCAACAAATCAAATTCCAGCTTTCACTTGTAAAGTTGCATTAGAAGCTCACATAGCTGACATTAGTTGGTTGCTACAGTCAACACTGAGATCTTTCCTCCACTTTTTAGAAATCGGTCCCCTTGTATTTAGATTTGATGACAATTGAATTTATGATGAAAACAGGGTTATCATCAGTGAGATTAATGATAGTTCAAGCTCCATTAAGCTGATATGCCCTAAAAATGTTTGCAGAGTTCACTGATCCATATGGGCTGAGCACCTGATGTGTACATGGACACAAGTTAATACAAGATAAATGGATATGGCACTGATCCCCTGTGTAAGGTAGACATGCTGACTGCAGGGTTCCATGGTATCCAATTTTTTTATAAATACACCCTTTACTTGATATGTTTTGCCCACAATAATCCACAATCCAAGAAATATTCCTTTATAGGAGAACTATGGGGTCAGGGCTTTTCCCCATAGTTCTCCTTAGGGTAACGGGAGGACACAAACTAGCGTCCTGCCGTTACCCTAAGCTCAGTATACCGCAAGCTACAGCTCGCGGTATACTGAGACGCCGCACCTGAAGCGGATCCCGACGTAGATGACGGGATCCGCCCAGCTGCGTGAGTACTGAGCCGACCTGTGACAGTCTCATTGTCACAGGTCAGCTAGAACTATGAGGTGAGTGAAAAGCACTCACCTCATAGTTCTCCTTTAATAGCAACAGTGGCACTCTCACCTAAGTGGAGCAATGGGCATAGCTATGAAAAGAAAATTGTCCAGACTGCAGTTAGCCTGTATTAGCAGAATAACTAGGCTTCCTTGATATTAAGAAGGTGGAGTTACATGTAGGAACCTCACAATGCAACTCTTATATTGTGTTTTAACTACCTCCGGGCCGGCCGTAGTAAAAAAACGGCCGGCCAGGAGCTCTCTCGATCTGAGCGGGCGTCTCTAGACGTCCGCTCAGACACGCCCCCTTGCGCGCGCCGCCAGGCACGCGCGAGCGGGAAATGGCCGGAATTTAAAAACGGGCAGCGATGCCCGTTAATATACATGCGATCCGCCGGCTGTAGAGCCGGCCGATCGCATGTATGGGGTGCCGATCGGGTGTCCCCCCCCCCCGCGGTCCCCCCCCGCTGTTGTGCCGCTGATCCCGGGCTCCGCTGTGCCCGCTGCGAGCCCGGGATCAGCATGTCGCCTGTGACACAGGGGATCAGAGAGAGCTCGGTACACGAGCTCCATCCGGTCCCCTCTCCGCTGCAAGAATACGGAAGTGTTGTATAATACATCACTTCCGCATTCTTGTGTCACTCTCCAGCTTCAGAAGCTGCAAAGAAGCTGATGGAGCAGATCTCTGCTTCATCAGCTTCTTTTGGGGGGTCCTAGGTGACATTAGGGGTCTTGGAGACCCCTGATGTCTCCATAAAGAGGACCTGTCACATATTTTGCTATCACATAGGGGGGTTTTATTAGCCCCCGTATGTGATAGCGATAAAGTTTAGTGAAAAAAAAAAAAAAAAAAAAAATTAAAGTCCCCCCCCAAAATTTTAAGTTACACATAAAAAAGAATTAAAGAAATTTTTTTTTTTTTTAAAGTCCCCACCCATACATACACGCATGCAAACATGCGTCGGGGGCGCATACGTGCAAAAAAGACGATTGCGCCCATTACGCTGCACATGTTACATATCGCCGCGAACGTCGGAGTGAGAGCAATAAGTCTAGGGCCATCAATCACTGATAACACTAAACTGATGAGCGGTAAAAACGTTTAAAGAGTCGCCTATGGCCAATTTTGGTTGCCGTCGTTTTCTGCGATGTCGAGGTTGCGCGCAATTTTCAAGCTTGACATGTTTAGTGTCTATTTAACCGACGTGACCTGATCTTTAATATTTGACCAAAAAACTGGGTAATAATAAATGTTTCCTAACATAATGTTACAAAAAACGTTTTTTTTTCAAAATTTTCAGTAATTTTTCCTAATTATAATAAACAATAAAACCCGTAGCGGTGATTAAATACCACCAAAAGAAAGCTCTATCTGTCCCCAAAAAATGGTATAAAATTCATCTCAGTACAGCGTTGCATGACGGAATAAACGTCAGTCAAAGTATCGCAGCGCTGAATACTGAAAAATGGCCTGGCCAGGAAGGGGGTCTAAACACCTGGTCTTGAAGTGGTTAATGAGAAAGGTTAAGCAATGTGATGGGTTCACAATTAACTCTTGTTCATCTTGCAAATATAGTTAAAAAATAATTTTGAGAGGAGCAAAAATGAAATAACAAACCATTGGGCATTTGTTTTCTTGTAATACTAAACAAGCTTGTACTAAAAGTGAGACTTCTCACCTGAAAACAGCTCGGTGTGTCTGCTCTCGCTCTTCTCCATTTAATACACAAGAGAATAAGCCAAATGATTCAGTGCCTATGAAAAACATTCAAAGAAAACAAGATTAAGGAAACAGAAAACTGTAGGGCCTTGTTTACAAACGAATTAAAAGGGGGTGGGCATTGCTAAAACGTCTATGCATCTTCTTGCCTCACCACCTTATATTGACGCAAACATTATGTGACTCGTGATTGACAGCAAGGATCTGCCTGTCCTCAGGCCCACTGCTGTGACCGGGAGACATGTGAATGCTGTGCATGCATAGTGTTATACTTGTTTTCTTTTCTCATTAAAGGCAACAGTTGAAAGCACTTTTTCTGTTTCATAGGGAAACCCTACAATGCCCAGTTATGTCCAGTCATTGCAAGCAATGCTGAAGGTGGGCAAATCCCTTTTAGAAACCAGGATGCCTTCCCTGCTTCAATAAATGGGGATGAGGTCTGCTTTATAACCCTGTAGTAGTTTTAGGAATACCCCTATGTAGGGATGTTCAGATACCAGTACCGATACTTGGCATTTTCATGAGAACTACCAGAGTTGCAGCAGTTGCAGCTGGGACCGGGCTCTGGAGCTCCAGCACTGTCCTGAAATCATTTGTCTGTATTGTTTTAGAAAAACTGGCGCAAGACAATAAACAAAAATGTAACAATACTTGTATCTGTGAGTACTTGGACATGTATCAGTACTTGAAAAAATGGTATTGGTGCATCCCTTACATATATTTATTTTAAAAAACACCATACATTAAAACATGGATGCACAAATCACAGGAGCTCCGTATGCTCCTTACAAATGACAGCTGCCTCCTAACTTTTCAATTTTTCTGTAGTCTAGACTTGGAGCTGGAAAAGTATCTGTACTTGTGCCTGTACCAAGTACGGTACTTGGTATCTGAACATCTCTACCCCTATGTCATGATAAAGAGAGGGCTGTGCAAAGTTATGTGTACTCTAATTAACCCTGTCTGTACTGTGCTGGCAGATTTAATCACCAGTTGTAAGCTAGATTTAAACACTGTCAGTCCTAACAAATTATTAAAGACTTAGAAGCACTGTATGTTAATGAGGAGGAGCTCAGTCTGTCCCTCAGCATGTCCACCTACATTCACTGTAGCCTTCAGTAGCCTTCAGGTCAAAGTTAAGAAATATTTTTTATTAAATAATTGTTAGGTATGCTGCGTGAATAGGAGCACATACCAAACAGATAGTGGGGTTTTCTAACATTTGACAGTAAAAGTAGAATAACACTTTAACTAACTCACATGTGATAAGCTTAGATATCATGCAGCATCTTAGAATATCATTGTGACATCAACATTTTCTCAATCTGACCTTTTGACAGATATCACATGCAGATGCAGGGGAACCTTGGCAAAAGAGGTGGGAATTGACGTGTATGAGTTGACAGGGCTTAATCTGCACAAAAGGGATGGTTAAAGCCACCTCCAGCCAAACTTTTATTTAGTTTTGGATAGTGGGGGGCAAGGTTTCGAACCTGTCAGATTTTATTGCTTTATTTTGCAGGGAAAAGAGAGCTATAAATGAAGGGAAGTCATTCTTACAGACAAAAAAACAGCTACTAAAACACACTTGTAGAGTGGGGACGTAGATTGCAGGTTTTTACAAAATTACTTTTCACTACTTGTCCCAGTGGCACAATTTGTGTCAGGATGTTATAAGAACAGGAAGTGCTGGAAAATCTCCCCAACGATAGCACAGGCAACTATAAAACCTGACAGTGGTTCTAACTCTTCTTCATTCTTTAAATATTGCTATGGGAGAAGTTTGGCTTTAACACTAACAGGCCATATTATCCAAAACCTCTTTAACTGAAATATACAAAGTAAGACAGTATATCTTCAGCACCACAGGTCTCCTTAATAAAGTAGTGAAAAGTGAAGAAACCCATAGGCTCAAGATGAAATTATGTCTAGACTGATCTCACTGCAGTAAACCAAATTTGGAATTTGCTGGTACGAGTCGCTTCACTTTGCACGAAGTCACTTCATTTTGCTTTACTAAATAGGCCTAGTAGCTCAATGCATCTGCAAGACAGAAAACAGCACAATGACCCCTTGACCACTACTGCAGTGCTCCTGGCTATGAAAGCTCTGCTGTGAACTAGTAGCTCGGTGCTGGTTTGTTGTGCATAGCAATCCAGAAACATTGAAGGGGAAAAGAGGTGTAAAAGATAGCTGGCAATCAGCTTGGTTGGACAGCAGTATTTTGTCAATATAAAAAAACAACTTACTTGATGACCGTGATGTGCTGTTTACAAAGACGTTGAGGAACTTCTTGGAAAAAGGCATATTGGGCTCTGGTGATGAGTCTTCTGATGAAGATTCATGTTCTTGAATTTCAACTTCATCTCCAAATTCATCTTCCTCCAAATCACAATTATCGCAAGCTCTCAGGAGGTCACTACCATCACTTAATATTGAAGTACATCTCTGAAGGCTAACTAGTTCCAGCTGAGTGTGCTCATCCACCACCAGTGTATATTTCATTGAGTCATAAGCCAAAGAATCATCCATAAGCCGTGATTCAGCTGTATGGTTCTGCAAAAAGGATTCTTCATCCCCACAATTCTGGTAGGGAGAACCCTTCAGGCTTCTGTAATAGGGAATGCCTTCATCATCTTCAACAGAATATTCTAGGTTAAAACCACGATTAGTTTTGGCTGTCGAAATGTCGATTGTTGGCTGATTTTGGTCCAGTTCTTGACATAGATCATCACATAGGTCATTATCTTCCAGAATTCCAGAATCCAAGTCCCGGTCAATGTCCCAGCCTTCCCTTTGCTCCTGTAAAATTTCTTCAGTTCTAGACCAAGTTTTCTTTTCAGTAAGATGCCTTGGAGATTGAGATCGACATTTAGCTGCATGAGATAATCCCTCCAGATGCAGGGGAAGGCCTTCAAAAATTGGAGTAACTGTGTCACATGAATCATGCAGAACATACAAACCAGGGCCACTTTCTTCTCTATCATGATGGCTTAGAGAGTGTTGCAGAGTCTCCATATCCACCAGCTCTATGCTCTGTTGCTCTTCAGCTACTTCCTTTGGAGAATCATTGGGAGTGGAAAGGTCAGCCTCTATCTCTGGCCCAACAGTCTCAGGATCTAACTCAGAGGCAGGAGAAAGTGTGTCACATGATGGGCTTGTCTGCCTCTGAAGGCATTCGTCTGGGCAGGTTATAGGATATGAGCCTTCAGAAATCATCTTATTAACCAGGTTACTAAGCAGCCAAGGAGAATCTGAATCTTCACTCAGATCAGCTTCAGATTCTGAATCTGAGTCATATTCACTGTGTACATCTGTTTCTGGCATTAACTTGGGACCAACTGGTAAGTAAAAGGATCTTCTAATACTTTCCATACTACGTTCTTTATTTTGATCAGCTTCCACCTGGCCAAAACCTTCTTCATTTACATGCCATGCACTGTATTTCTCCTCAGGCTCCATCATTATAGAACCTCTCTCCTCTTCCTTGTCAAGTAAGATGGATTCTTTTAGACCATGAAAGCCTCCCTGTCCAATGGGATCTGGTTCTGGATCAGAGGTTGGGGAACTAGCCTCTTCAATGGAGTTGGTGAGGTGAGAGGACCTTCCACTGCTTGACTCACTAGTCAAATCTAGCTCTGTTTCTGATATTGATGAGATCATGTTGCTCACAAGTCTTCCACCTTCACAAGCAAATGCTGCTTCTATTTCCCCTTCTATATCTGAATCAGAGCCAGGAGAGCTTAGATCCTGGTTGCTGTGTCCAGCTGGCACATACCTATTTCGACTAGTGAGATCTGCCTCAATTCCAGGATCTGAAGATGGAGATGTAGTTTCATTAGAAGAATTGGATGGATGACCCCGTGTGCTCTCTCTCTGATCAGGACTCAGATCCTCCACATTCTCTAGGGGTGGTGTAGATACCCTAAACTCAGGATCTGAAGGCCATGAGTCACCATAGCTGTAACGGTGATTGGTGTCAGGTGCTACTGTAGACACATCAATTACTTCTTTACTCTCCAGCTCTGTTTCATTGTTGTAACTGTCAGCTTCTTTGTGAGAGTCTACTTCACACTGAGTAACCTGGGTATGGGATACCAGTTCTGCAGGTTTAAGAAGATGTATTAGGACAACTTTTCATAGACAGATATTAAATAGTTTACACTGAGGCATGAAAAATAGGGAAAGCATTTATAATTAAGACACACATGCAGACTGCAGTTTGGTTCACATAGCTAGAGAAATGTCCAAGCAAAAGAAGATTTTAGAGAGGAAATGTGTCATCACAGAAAGAGGGAATATGCTAACCACATCCAAAGCTCACCAACTTTCTTATTATGGAGGAAAATGCCCTCCAACAATAAAGATGTACTAAAACAACACAAATGAGGGACACCGTGAAAGAAGTAATAGATACACATGCAAAGAGTCTAACGCTCTCACCGGTCTCATTTCTCTCAGGATCTGCCCAGCTGTCACTCTGAGAAATGAATCCACCGTTGTTGTTAAGTGTGTCCTGAGATTTAGAGAATAGAATAGCTCAAAATAATCCAATATACTGCATTCTGTACCTACCACATTTATATATTTATATATACAAACTTATAAACCCAGACATAGCTCCTAAATGTCTTTTGTAAAGGGATTTTTCACTCAGATTGTCTCTTTACAATTTCTCTTATTAGCTTACTGCTCATTGGATAATAATTCATACGTGTGATGATACTGATTCACTGTTGAGTGCACAGATAATTAAGGGCAGATTAGCCATACCATTCTAGTCACCTCATATGCATATTCTGGCATGGCCTGCCCCATCAGACACCCAGTGCCTACAAGTGCATCCTCCCTTGTGAAGTGACAGGTAGGTGCACAGCTCTTTGCTAGTAGACATGTGCGCCGGCAAAAAAATTGTTTCATTTTGTTTTCATTCTGAATGTTCATTAATTCGTTTTTCGACATTCGGGTCCGAAAGTCAATTAGTTTGCGGATTAGAAGGAAATCTGAATTTTCGTTAGCGGTAAAATGTACAAATTTTCGTTATGAACAAATTTTCGTTGCAGCAAAGTGACATTAGACAAAATTAAAAAAAAATGATAATTTTTTAAAAAGTCTGTAGGAGAAAACAAAAATAAAGAATCGTGAGGTTCCTCTTCATTTGATGCCAGACCCTTTAGGTCGGGTATGAATGTTAGGAGGGACCCCCCAAAGTAAAAAACCTTTAGGTCTGGTAGAAATTTTAAGGGGTAACCCCACCCCCCAAATAATGAAGAACAGAAAAGGTGGGGTCCCACCTAAAATTCTTACCAGACCCTTGATCCGAGCATAGGCAGGGCAGGAAAGGGGTAGTGCCCCTCCCTCCCTGCACCATACCAGGTCACATGCCCTCGGCATTGGGAGGGTGTCCCCATGCTGATAAGGGCAAGGGTCTCTTTGACACACAACCCTGACCCTGTAATGGTGGGGGTCTGCAGGCAGGGGGGCTTATTTGCATCAGGGTACTGTTTTAACTAGGGGCCACCCAGATGCCGCTGCCCCCCCACCCTGGTTTTGAATGAGTAAGGGGTACTTGTACCCCTACTCATTTACTAAAGTGTTAAAAGTACATGTAAATAAAGAGACCACATGTTTTGAAAAATGTAATTGAAAAAAACCCAAAAGTTCTTTATTTAAAAAAAAAATAATGGCTCTATCGATGTAATCCAGCATCAATCATGATGAATGATGCCCGCCGACTCGCCAAAATTAAAAAAGTCCTGCCGCATGCCGATCTGTCGGAACCCTTTGAAGACTCACCGCAAAATGACAGCTCTGGCCCGAATGTAAACAAATGGGCGGAGCAAGTCATGACGTCACGGGGCTCATTCGCCATTTGACATTCTGAGCTGTCATAGAACACAATAGCATTCGGGAGCTCCTGAATGCCATTCGGGTGAGGTGTCAAATGAATAGTATTAGGGCACCTCGGCTCACAGACCCGAATGGCATTCAGGAGCTCACAGATAGCATTCAGGAGCTCCCGAATCCTATTGTGTTCCATGACAGCTCAGGATGTCAAATGGACGTATCGAGCCCCATGACATCACGGCTCGCAACACGCATTTGTTTACTAGGGCCAGAGCTGTCATTTTGCGGCGAGTCTTTGTCAGGTTCGGACTGGTTGGCGTGCAGCGGAACTTTTTGGCGAGTCGGCAGGCATCTGTCATCATTATTCCCGCTGGATTACATTGATGGATCCATTTTTAAAAAAAATAAAGGACTTGTCAAAAATCTACTCTTTGTTTTTTTTGGTTTTGTGTGGTCTCTTTATTTACATTTACTTTTAACTCTTTAGTGAATGAGTAGTGGTACGGTACCCCTTAGTTATCCAAAAGGGTCAGCAGTGGCATCTGGGCCACACCTTAATTAAAGGGGTACCCTGATGCAAATAAGCCCCCCCTGCCCAAAGACCCCCACAACCACCGGGTCAGGGTTGTGGGGAAGAAGCCCTTGTCACCATCGGCATGGGGACCCCGAGGGCATGTGGCCTGGTGGAGAGGGGGCGCTTAATCATCCCTCCCTTTCCTGCCCTGCCTGTGCTCGGATCAAGGGTCTGGTAGGAATTATAGGGTGGACCCCACTTTTTTCATGTGTGGGGTTCCCCATTAAATTCCTACCAGACCTTAATGTGGCAGATGAGGTTTAATGTCGATAAATGCAAAGTAAAGCACTTTGGACATAAAAATAAACAAATGGGTTATACAATTATGGGTATGCCGCTAGGGAAGTCAGAAATGGAGAAGGATTTGGGGGTCATTGTAGACCACAAACTGAAAGGTAGCTTGCAGTGCCAGGCTGCTGTAAACAAAGCTAGCAGGGTCTTGTCCTGTATTAAGAAGGGGATGTATTGCAGGGACAAGTCTATAATTTTGCCACTTTATAGATCATTGGTTCGACCTCATCTGGAGTACGCGGTCCAGTTCTGGTCACCAGTACTAAGAAAAGATGTCCTTGAGTTGGAAAAAGTCCAGCGGAGGGCAACCAAACTAATTAGGGGCATGGAGGACCAGAGCTACGAGACAAGGCTACTAAATTTAAACATGTTCACATTGGAGGTGAGGAGATTAAGGGGGGATATGATTTCCATGTACAAAATGTTTAATGGTGGTAACAACATTAGCGACAAACTGTTTAAAATTAACTCCATTACAAAAACTAGAGGCCATCACCTAAAATTGATGGAAAAAAAATTCCAGCACAAGGGGCGAAGGGGGTTCTTCACAGTAAGATCAGTTAGGGTCTGGAACTCACTGCCACAGGCGGTGATTTCAGCAAAGAATGTGGAATTGTTCAAGAAACTTTTGGACGATTTCTTAAGGGACCGTAATATACAGGGGTACAGGTACTCCTAGAATGAGATCCTAATAGGTTGGACTTGATGGACTAATGTCTTTATTCAACCTCAAATACTATGTAACTATGGTAACTATGACCTAAAGGGCCTGGTATGACTTTTGGGGGGGACCCCACGTACTTTTGTTTTTAACTTGGAGGGGTCCCTCCTAACATCCCTACCAGACCTGAAGGGTCTGGTATCATTTGGGTGTAGAACCTTGCACCTTTTTTTTTCTCTTCTGCGGACTGTAAAAAAAATTAAATTTTGTTACCTTTTGTCTAATGTCACTTTGCTGCAACGCAAATTCGTTTGTAAAGAAAATTTGTACATACTACCGCTAACGAAAATTCTGATTTTTTTTTCTTTTTTTAGTTGAGGCTTACACAATAAAACTTCAACAACTTCAAAAAATTGCACATGTCTATTATTAACCCCCTGGACATCCATCAGGCTCTATGCTCCTGTCTAGGTTGGCTTATGATCTGGATTTGGTTCAGTGGTCAGGTTGGAGGTAAAGAGCTGACATAGGACACTGCAAGTCAGAATCAGCAAATAGGAGTGTCAGCTGCCTGGCTATACAGTGTAGCAGTGGTGTATAAACTTCAAGGCTGGCTGTAAAGAATTACAAAGTCTTTGGCAGGTGAAACAGTTCACATATACTGTATGTGTCTGGCATTCCACATTGAAGGTCTTGAAATATTTATCGACTTTATGCGCTCCTTGCCTCCATTTACTCTTCTTGAAATATTTTGCTGAGAATTTCAGTCTTACGTTTACTGAATGTAATAATCAGGCAATACAACTGCTTTAAAAATTTGGCAGGTACATGTAATGCCTTTGCAGAATATAACCACCATCTTAAAACTGAAAAGGTATGTCCCAAAGAGAATGGCAATCATACACAAAGCTAACAGAGAACTGGAAGGGAGTGCAACAGGTTAGGGATTCATATTTTTTTACATCTGACGAATAATCTTAAAGACAATCCAAAGTTTTTTTTCCTATTACAGTAGTGCAATTGTCCATATCAGATTTCATCAGAGATTTAAACTACCGACAAATAAGTGTTTTCAGTCATTTGAAGTGAAATAAACATTAGTGTCATAAGGGAAAATATAGTAAATGCTCTCAGAATATGATTACCTGTATTTCACCAGATACAGGCATATAACCAGTAAGGTTTTAGAACACTTATTATTTCAAAGAAAAGATATATGATCTTTTATAGTGTTCATTCAGAAATTGCTTGATAAACCAACCTTCTTGTATGTGGTATAGGTTAGCAGTCCAAATGCTGCCGAGGAAATTGGTCTGCTTGTGACTTTTAGTGGAAAAAGTGGGAGACCCTTTTTATACGTTAGTCATTCCTAAAACCTTTAGGAAAGGGAAACCTTTTTTCAGACCTACTTAAGTGGCTTGAAGAACTTGCAACCAATTGGCTTCCTTTGGTTAAGCCGGAAGCCCAAACTGTTTCTGTAGCAGCCTCTCTTTGCTCTAAGGGAATCCCAGCAGGTACACCCTGGGAATTTAAAAGCCTTCTGGAGTGCTAGCAATCGGATAATTTGCTTCCAACAGCACCTCAAAACAATACGAATGCAATATTATCAGTGTATCTGAAAAATAGTATAAATATACATACTAGAAATACAATACCTTAGGCCTCATGCACTCAGGTGTATATATTTATGCAGGATCCTGCTGGCAGAAAGATAAATTACTCAACATTTTGAAAAAGTAATTGATCTTTCTGCCAGCAGGATCCTGCATAAATACATGCACTATGAAAAAGTAATCCATAGTGCATCTGACTTCATATGGACATAAATGCTCTTATGTCCATATAAACTAAGATGCATCACTTATACAGGCTCCTTTTTTTATTGACATGTCTCTCAAACCTGCATGACCTAAATGAGTCAGTCAGTAGGCAGTGGCACATGTGCAGAATGACCTCAAACTTCTGCAATGAATGAATGAAGGCCATGGTCTTGTTGCGTACCGAGGCTGCCTAGTAAATGACTAATTTGAGTCATTCAGGGCTACAGAGAAGAAACGCCAACAACGTATAGGCAGCTGCAGAGGTCCAGAATGACCTTGGCCTCCAATCATTCCTTCTGGCCCCATTTATGCGATATGACCATGTCCATTTACAAAATAGACAAACGTTTACATGCCAACTGTGTCAAAATCAGACTGTAGATGCAGATTTTCTTGTTTTGGCTTACGCAGTTAAATGCTACAAACCAAAGCGCAGTTGTGTGACTGGGCCCATGGCCTCAAAAACTTCTGCATTCAGAGCAGTATAAAACTGTATGTAGTACAGATCTCAAAGCAGCATATTATATGCCCATGTGCACGAGCCCGTAATAAAGCTGTGATGAATATATGCAGGTTATACAGTTTATACTGTATTGGCAGTGTCAGTTTGTATTACAATCATATCACCTAAACATAAAGAATATCTTCTAATGTGCACATTATATTCACTGACTGTCATAACCATATCCATATATCTTCCGAGCTTTATTTTTTGGATCCTCCTGTTTCTCCAATTCACATATTTGTAATCTCACCTGTGTGCGAGGGGCAGTAAGTCTCAGAGTGCATGGCCTATTTTTCAGTAAATCTTCAGGTGGAAGAGGAGAGGGACTTGGAGATGGAGGTGACTCATCTTGTTTTTTACTTTCTTGTGGCTGGAGTTCCTCCTCTTCTTCCTCTTCCTCTTCATCATCTTCCTCATCGATCATTTCAAATTCCTGGAAATCCTCCTGAAAGGTGCAGATAGCGCGGGAAGGATCGCATCTTCCAAAGCCAAGTCCTTCCTAAAAGGGGGAGAATGGTCGCAGTATGGTTATTTAGATTTCAAGCTATTTAAACCTTAGAAGAATAGGAGCAATTTAAAAATGAAAGGTAAAAATGCCAGTGCAAACTGTCCACAGATTATCAGGCTCTGATGTGCAGTTCACATTCAGAAATGTGGCTAAGAATAATAGATTTCCATGAAATGGATGCTTTAAAACTATAAACCAAAGCATTTCCAATATAAAACAGAAAAAAATGTGTATATAAACCCTAAATCTGTTTTTTTAGTATATTTAGCATCATGTCTTACTGTATACAGAAAATTCATTTTGTTAATCTAGTGAAACATTTCTCACCTGGAGATCGTGCCACTACAAGCACTTCCTGTTGCAAGTTGACAATGCTAAGCCACTGCCTCACAATTAGAAACAGCTTTAACAATAAAGAAGCCCACTGGCCAACTGAAGGAGCTTGCAAGGCAGGCTAGCAATGCTGCTGCTCATTGTGAGGCAGTGGCTTAGTGTTGTCAGCTTGCAACAGTAAGTGCTGTTACTGGGAAGATCTTCAAGTTAAACATTTTGCAACATATTTACAAAAACAATTTTGCTTAATGTAGAAATTAGCATTATACAAAACCTCACATTTTAAATGCTGCCATTTAGGATGATGTCACTGCTTTAACAATTCAGTGGTGTTGTTGGCTCTGCACAGACAGCTGCCATTTTAGTTTCTGCCACTAAGGGGCAGATTCAGTGCATCCTCACTGTATTTCAAATATGTTATGTTGGAAGATTCTTCTTCTTCTCCTTTTTTTTTTCTATCCTCTTTCTGGAGTTTCCCCTACTCTTGTTTTTTATTTTTATGTAAATTGTCAATCTCCTCTCTGAACGTCAGGGGCTTTAATGTTCCACACAAGAGAAGCCAAAATATTACCACTTGCACAAATGACAGACATGTTTTGTTTTTGTAGAAAACTCACTTCAAGAAAGGTAAGACCCCTAAGTTGTGTAACAAATTAACCCAGTCTCAAAATCTAAGGGGGTGTCAATAGTTTTTCAAGATTCCTTCTGCTTGCACATTTTACAACAGTTGGTGAACCCAGAAGGGAGATTTATTCTTCTTAAGAATACATTTTACAATGCTGTATACACCTTGGCTAATGTATATTTTTCAAACCATTTTCAGGTGCAGTTCTTCTCTCTCCTCTGCAACTTAAGATATGTTGGCCACCATAATTTAATACTGGGGGGATTTCAACTTGATTGTTCTTCTGGTCAGTTGACAGCTTCTTTTGCTTCTTTGTCTAAGGTAAATGGGTTTTTAACGACCTACGCCTGGTCGACGTTTGGTGTATCCTCCACCCTGGCGGTCAAGATTACACCTATTACTCCTTTCTCCATGACTCCCTTTGTCATATAGACGATTTCTTAATCTCCCAATCACTCCATGATACTGCTCCTACCTCACAGATTGGTCTTCATTTCTGGTCTGATCACGCACCCATAAATCTGACAGTAGGCTCCGCACACCCCTCTCCTAGACCCTTTTCTTGGAAATTGAATGATAACCTTCTTTTAGATGCAGCTTGTAAGTCTGCCATCTCTCCATTCAGACCTTTGTTCAGACCCATCATACTGACGTCACACATTCCTTTACCAAATGGAAAGTATTAGAATGTGTCTTACGAGGTATTTTAATGCAACAAGGAGCTGGGCTTAAAAAAGGAAAAGCTTCTAAAATCATATCCCTATAACAACCCCATCTAAGCTAGAAGCGATACACAAATGCGACCTCCTCCATGCCACTCTCGTGGACCTTTCTAAAGACATGAACTTTTTGGGTCTTTTTTTTAACAGTGCTCACTTATTGCTCTGGTTTATTAATGTTTTCTGGGTTTATTAATCTCTACCATTCTACTAATAAGATGCAGTCAAACCTTTTCAGGATTTTTACACGGCTCTACATAACATCTTTTCTTGCCCTGATTCAACTTCTCTTTTGATCTCTGAGGACTCAGTGAGACAATACATACAAGAGATGGCCCTCCCCACTATAGATGAGCAGACTGCAGCATCATTGGAAGTGCTCTTTTTAGAGGAGGAAATACAACACACTATTAAAAAGTTGAAATCTGGTAAGTGTCTGGACCAGATGGTTTTACCCTTCGGTTTTACAAATCATTAATTTAGGTTCTGACTCTGCTCCTAACCAAAACATTTAATTAATCGGGTGTTTCCTAAAACGGGGAAAGATCATCCACACTACAGTAGCTACAGACCTACTTACTTACTTAATGGAGACCTGAAAGCCTTTTCTAAGACTACTGCTGATGGTCTTGCCCCATGTCTGCTTTTGGGTTCTTTGTAGGACTAAATCTTAAGGTGGCACTGGTTTGCCAAATTTTGACTAAGATGGTTTGCTGTAATATACTTGCCGGCCGCGAGCTATCTGCGCTCCAGCGTGGTACGCAGCGGCTGTGTCACGCAGACCATTTCCCTATCAGAGGGGGAACTTCCCTGCGATCCACCGTGGAACGCGGAAGTGACGTCACGGCCGGGTCGTCACTTCCGGGTTCGCGCACTATTTAAACATCCTGTGAACGCTATGGAAGCGTTCCACTATTGAGCTTGATGCTCTCCACAAGCCAGGACCCACACCGGGAGATTCGCGGACCCCTCTCTGCTTTGGAGGTTCCTCTGCCTCTGTCCTGTCCACAGGAAACCGCAAGTATCTTAAGGAGTCTGGACTGTGATACTGAACTTTAACCCCACTCAACCCCTTTTGGAACAGGGAGCCATTGTACTGGGGCTCTGACGAACCGATGGAGGTCGGGGTAGTTCGAGGACCATTGACTCCCACTGAAAAAGCCAGAAGACGTGACAAGCGCCTGTGCCTCTACTGCGCCTCCCCCAACCACTCCGTCTCGTCCTGTCCCCAGGCACGTCGCCAGGATGAAGGTAACCTTCTCCCCATCTGTAGAGTCACCCCTACCGTCACTCAACCTCACTCTTACGTCTTTCTCTCATTAACTTTGCAGTGGGACCAAGAGAGGATCGTCGCAGAGGCTATGATTGACTCAGGAGCTTGTGGCAACTTCATAGACCACCGTCTAGTCTCAAAAAATAAAATACCTATTATAAAACGAACCACCCCTCTGTCTGTCAGTTTCTTGGATGGAACAACCGCTCCATCCGGACCTATCTGTTACCAGACACAACCCCTTCTAGTTACCTGCTCCAAATCGCATACCGAGGTCCTATCCCTAGATGTCATCTCCTCGTCGGTGTTCCCTATTGTATTGGGGTTACCTTGGCTTCTTCTACATCAACCGTAATTTCTCTGGCAGGAACGCACTAAAGGAAAACTGAGTCATTTGCACCCGCTTTACGTTGCTGACCTAATTGGGTTATGAGCTAAATAACCCCTGTAGGGTCCATCCCTTTCTCTTAAGTTTGTGGCAGATGATGCAAGAACCCCTCACTCTCGTTTGAGATTGAGAGAGACGCCTGGGGTTCAAGCCTGATTGCCATACCCAGCCCTAATTTAAAATTGAGCCCGCAGCTGTGATCCTCTTCGCTATAGCAGACCCTGGAGCATTACATTTGCTCAGGCTCCAAGAAGGGGCTCTGTTGCAGTGGAACAATTTATGTCACCACCTACTATGCGTTCACCACATTCACCTCTCACACAAGCGTCCTTGAAGGCTTGGTACCATGGTTATACCAGCTATAGTATGTCTACCATTCCTGGCCCATTGATGCCTCTATTTGACAAGACAGCATTGCTACTGGGACTGTAGACTGTATATTTGGAGGGTTACACTCGTTTTACATGGCCTTTAGCTAAATATTTTTTTGACCCCTCTACTGGAAAATTCATATACTCATGAACCTCTCCCCTTTGGGCTATTAGTTGGCTTGAAACAGCTCAATTGCCGTCTTATAGTGGTTTGCTTTGTTGTACGGGTCTATTCAGTAATCGTGGCACAGGGACCTGGGTAGAACGATTTTAAAAGAAGATTGGTTTATGGCTTTCTTTATCATCTGCCTCGTGTTGCACACAGGAGTATATTATAAAATTATATCTTGGTGGTATAAAGACCCTGTTTCCATTTACTGTGTCTTCCCAGAGACACCAGACACCTGTTGGGGGTGTGGGCAGGACAGTGGCATGTAGTTACACGTGTAGTAGAACTGCCCTTTAATACAGCCATTCTGGTCCCAGATTTTTACTATTTATTTTGATCTATATGGCACTGTTATGGCCCCCACCCCTGAAATTGCTCTCCTATCTCTTTACCCTGCTTCCAAAAGCATCTGAAACAATCCCTACTTCAATTAATTGTTTCCGCAGCCCATCAAATTGCCCCTGCTTTTTGGACAACTGCGCCTAATGTATCTCACTGGGTCAACTATATGATATCATGTGGATGGAGGAGCTATTAGCTATAGATTCTGACACCTATGATACATATTACGATACCTGGGTTGTCTGGATACATTACTCAGCCTCTGGTTCTCTCAGGCCTAAACTCTAAGTTAATTTTGGTTACTGACTGACTTTACTGGCCTAGTTGCAGATTATTGTGTTACATTGAGCACCCACCCCCCCTGGGCATCCCTACCTCATACGCCACCTTTCTTATCCTTTTCTGTTCTGTCCCTTACTTATTGTTCTTGTTTTCTCTTCTAACCTCTTTCGTGTCTTTTCTCACATATAGTAGTTCAGAGCTAGGCTCGGGATAAGTAAATAAGTTACTGTTACTGGCCTCATGGAGTTATGACAACAAATAGTGACTTTGAGGCATGTACATTACTTAACTTGGTCATATCTATTTTGTTTCTACAAATGTTTTGCCAGTTGTCATGTTTATATGAACTAAGTCCTGGTATTTAAGTTTTCACCATGTATGATTGCTTATCTCGAAACATTCTTTACTGATGTCCCGACATGCTTGTTCCATTAAGTTCTCTGTATTTTTCATGTACTTTCAAAAATGGATTTACTCATAAAAAGGTAT